GCGACAGTTGAAAGCACTGTGTAACTGCCTCGAGGGTGCTTGACCAATTTAAGACAACGTGGTCCGACTATCCCCCTTGCGCGGAGTGAGGGTTCTCGACCCCGCACAACACGACCTACTCGACCACCATTCATGGTTTCCGCAACCAAAAAAACATACAAAGGGCAACAAAACAGTAAACTGGTTGCCGAGCTCAGGAGGTGATCGGCTTGTTTTCACCATCGCTGCCAAGCGACGAAAACCCAACCCCGATGGCAAACACCGAAGGGGGGCAGGAGAGGGGGTGGGATGAAAAATACACACCCTGACAACACAAGCGTTCGGTGGCTTGATTAAATACAAAAAACGATAGGAGCGCATTCATATGACTTACCGTATATGGTCTCATGGTTTGCGGAGGCGACCAAGTGCTGCGTTGTCAAAGCCAGTTCCACCTGTAATGGCATGGGCAAAGCATTTTATTGGAAAAAATTGCACTTGTTGTTGACCCATCACCGAACCAATATTCAGGCCAGCGGATTTCACACGCCATGTTTACCGCGACTGCAGCAGTGTGGAGTGGTGCTCATGTCAAGAACCTCCCCACATGCATATGGTTGATTCCAATCAATCAAACCCGCGCCGAAATGAATGGCAACGACAATGAACATGCCACCATTGCAGATCTTGGTATCCTTGCAACAAACAAGTATTGTTCGACTATTCTATTGAACCCTTTGGAGACTTACGTGCATGAACAGCTGTTGTGGTGATCACTGCGAATCAATGTGATGCGATGCTATGTTTCAGTCCGCCCTTGTCGCGCAATGTTTTTTCACTCCACATCAGTGCTCACAGCACTTGTGCCGTTTGCTCCAACCCGTGGTCACCCAGGAGGGATTCTCTCCCTGAGTCCCCTACCTAACCGTCCTGCGGTGCTTTGCCTTCGATTTTTCATGCGAGAAGAGTCCAGCGCTCTCTTCCCTCTGCGTACGCACGAACTAGCGCTTTCCACCTAAGCCAGGAACAGAAGAGAGAGAAAAACTCACTTTGGAAGAAAAGCTCGCTTACGCCGGATTCGAAACCCCTGATCATGGCCACAGGAAGGATGTTCGATGATACCAATAGACTACCGGGGTGACCGGGGAGAAATGTGATATTTTCCGAACCCAACACAAAGTTGATGTAAAGCGCCTGCGCATGCACATTGCCGCGGACCGAGCAATAGCTCACATGCAGAGCATCAGACGCTTCCATTGTACACTTGCTGCACACTCCTGCTTGCTCGCTTCTACACACACGATTCAGTTTTGGCGACACTATCACATGTGGCATACACTGCCACGCTACTACTGTACGCATTTCTCGTACACACAGCAGCAGCCGCAGTAGCGCGGCTACAGGCCAATGCTGCCTGCTCCGTTCTGGACAAGGCATGTTGTCGCCGTTCTTGTAAAAGAGAAAAAGAACAAAAAATATATTGCCCAGAGGACTCACATCTGGGGTGGGGGGAGGAGAGAGGTACGGTTCTTGTGCTCTTATGTTGACATGGCGGGCTTTACCCTCTGTGCACTGATCGCTTTCCACACATCGCTCAAAATAGACTACCGACAGGCACCAGGGACACCAACGACCACAAGCCTAACGCACCCTGCCGGCGATAATTTTCCCACTCTGCCGTTGCGCTTCCCTAAGAATGCACCAGGAGCCTGTCGAGGGCGGCCAGTACAACCCCTACGCCTAGCTAACTGTTCGTAGCTACAAGGGGTTACCTCCATCTATGGCTGTACTTCACGCGCTTTCCATATCCACTTCTGTATCTTCACCGAAAGAAATTGGCGACACAGAGCGACTAACAGTCCCGGTCCAGCCAAGCACCGAAGGAATGGACATTGTTTCAACAACAAAACGCAATGCCTTCATTTTGGTTCGTTACTGCTTCTAAGAACACCACCATGACGTGCTATTCACTGTAGGATTCTTTCCTCATACTCTCGACTAATTCTTGGTGCTCCTGGCCATGCCCATTAATGTGAGTTCTCGTCCCCCAACGGAATAGTAGGGAAAAAATCGTGTGAAATTTGCTACGTAGAAGATACACCCATGGGAATAATCTGACTCTCACCTCTCTCGGAAGGCTATGTTGGCGTTCGTGGCTCCTCACCCGCTGCCCTGCCCGATGTTTCGTACGCCTTTCAACCCGTCGACCTTCTTCTGTGCACCGATGACATATCATGTGTTTCCACAAGCGCTCCACAAGGTTCGAGTGCCCCCCCCTCTGCAAATGCTTGTTGCTGAGGAACCCGCCCTACGTTGTACCCTTGCCTCCCTCCCCGCCCCGCCGCTTCCGCCGCCAGCATTACCAGTACCGTACCTGTTCATGTCCTCCCTCGCTCGTCTACGGTCATAACGGTGCCGGGGTAAGGCAGACAGACAGACAGACAGACAGACAGACAGACAGACAGACAGACAGACAGACAGACAGACAGACAGACAGACAGACAGACAGACGGATAGACAGATAAGACAGACCGACAGACGAGGAGAGGATAGAACCCAACAGTGAATTAACTAGCTCATCATTCGGTCGGGGAGGGTTGCACGTTCAGCTGTCTAGAGACATCACAATCCGAATCAAGAAAAGCAGACCTTACTCCTTCCTTTGCCAGGAGACATCTCTCTCCCCTCGCTGTTTTTCTAGCTGGGGTATGTACGACTACGCTGTACGTAGATTTCCGGGCCCAAAGTATGCGTGCTGTAGTCTACGCTGTGCCCCAGGCTTGATGGATGACGACAGGCGTGGTACATACCGTGGACTTGTGTGGGGGGAAACATACAGCACAACAGTGCATCACGGCTCGATCGACTCGAGTGTCATGTACGCTGTTCCCCCAGTTTCCCTGGGGCCTTGCGCCATCCTGTTGTGACCAAGGCATGGTAAGGAGTCTGTAGCTCTCGATGAGTAAACAAACCGGTACAGCAGGCATATTACAGGAGGGGTTGTTTGGCTGTGCATGTGCATCTTGTCGGTGTACGCGCTGCGGGGTTTCTCACCCGAAAGCCCTAGGCATTGAAAGCTAGCTACTCCTGGACGAGCGCACACCCTGCTGTCTCCTGTTGACAAGGTTGCGCAGAGTGGCTTTTGCAAGCTGTGCGCGATGAACATGCGAAGGAGTGTCTCCCGCCAGAAGGAAATCAATGCGGCAAGAATAGGCTGCAGTCGGGGCGACGTCCCCCAAACATGACAAAACAAAACTGCAGTATAGACTAGGCAGAGTTGGCAAGTATTGACTGTCACCTAGATATGACCATCACCCAACAGGATGTAGGTGCCTCGTCTTCTCACATCAGTGCCTGGAGCTGGCCCATGGCTCCATCCGCGCAGAACCTACACCAGCAGTCATCAAGCGAGCATAGCAAGGGAGGCTTTGGTCGATACAAGCGAGCAGCGAAGCAGTCAGAGAAGAGAGCAGAGCTGTGAACATCTCCGGAGATTAGGGACCCGATACAGAGAGGAGGGGAGGGGTTGAGAAACGGAGATCGATCGCTGCCATATGGCCCCTACGACCTGCCAGCAACTGCTAGCTTGTCGATCGAACACCACGCCGTAGCGTCCGTACTGATAGGAGCGATAGCACGAGCCCGCAGGCCTTGTGAGATTGTACGGCGGAAGAGAGGGCCGAGAAAGGAATGAATAGAATGCCGGCAGCACATCAGTTCGCACATCATGTGGCGGTGCAGATCGGAGATCGTTGGATATTACGTTGAAGATGGTCATCGGCCCGGTTCCTTTTTGCGCTACCGGCTGTCGATGCGTAACGGATTCGAAACCCCGTGAAAGCGTTAAGACAGAGCCCGGCTGGATCCTGGAGCATGCGGCCACCGAGTTACTCTCATCTAATCCCGCCTTTGTTGACTTGTCACTTTTGAGCGGAGAGAGACAGAGGGAGAGCAGGTGTTCTTGCGTGGGCAAACAGTTTCGAAGCTCGGCCGGTGGCTCTTTTCGGAGAACGGCCGCCGATCTATCCTGCGTTGAGCGGGAGGACAAGAAGTAAGATCCTGCGCGAGTGGAGAGGAGGAGAAAGAGCGGAGCAACGAATGAGGAGCAAGAACAAGCAGGTGCGTGGCGTGTGTGCGCGCTTTTTGTGGACAGGCGGTGTGCTTTTGTGAGGGAACGGAAGAGGGAAGGGTAATCACCCAGCACAGATGGAGAGGAGAGAGCGCGCAGGTGTTTGGTGAGGTTTTTTCTCCAGGGCGTACACAGCGCATCCGTTAACATGTACGGCGGCCACGGGCCACGGCGTGGATGTGGTCCGCTCTCAAACAAGGCCGCTGGTTGAAAGAGCATGGACCTCTCCTACAACGCGTGCCTGCTCTTTGATATACTGCAGAGCCACGCCGACTCTGATCCCCTCTTGCTGTGTGGCCACACGAGCACACATGAAGATCCTTCTCATGCCCATGCCATCGCTGCCCAGCGTTGATCGCACTCGAAAGAGAGATTGACAGATCACCGCGTGAGTCGTGGAAGCTCTTGACCTCCAAGGCTCAGCAGTATTGCCCGGGACCCGATTCCTCCGTGAATCAATCATATTATTGAAGATCCGAGGAGATTTTGTTTTGCGCCACACGGCACCCTTTGATTGTCCCTCGCCCGGAGCTACATGGTACAAGTACCATTCAACGAGACTGCCCATGAGGCCACTGCTGTAGATATTTTGGGAACGTGTCCAGTCAAGAAATATCTACTAGGCCACCAAAACCACGCCTTCGATCCTGTTCCCGATCCACGCAGGCAAGAAAACCATGAGGTGTTTTTTGGTGCTGCTGTTTGTTGCTTCTCGTGACGGCCATGCTACCGCCGTCCGTGGATGCCTTCGAAGGCAAACCTGGGCTGCTTGGGCGAGCCACCACCTTGCTAGTGGGCGCTCCGACCGCCCTGCGGGACATGTCCAAGGATATCGACGCTACCTTCCTCCTAGAGAAGGGTGTTACGGTGGGGCAAGAACCCGCCTCTGGCCTCAGGGAAGCGGCGTTTGTGGGCACGATCCAGCCCAGCAAGGAGTGGGTCTTCGAGGTAAGTGATGAAGATCAATTGTAGCAGGGGAGGTATTGACGGTATTGATGTGTGTGGGGGGAACCTTCAACCCTTGCGTTGTTTGAAAACCTATCTCGGGCAGGCGGGCGTGACAAGTTTGGTGTGCCTGCGTTCATGATGATGTAGGTAGACGTGTCTTGAAGGCAGATGGGCAAGGGTGAGAAATGGCAGGCATGCGTGCTGAGGGTATTCGTTTTTGTGCTTTGGGTATCTTTTACTTTCAGGTTTTTTGGGAGACGTACTATGTACAATGTTCTCCTGGTTTCCTCAGACATTATCGTGCATGCTTTTTCGGCGGTCTCTCCTGCAGTATCATACATGCCGTGAAATGTATTCAGACTACCCCCGCAATATGCCATTGTCCAACCAAGGGGTCGACCCCATACCTGTGAGGGATATACAAACTAGGCAATTCGCCTGACTCCAACCTCCTGTTTCTAACTTGTCCCTCCCGCGCCCGCTCCTGCCAGCCTATTGGACGTGAAGCGCACGCTGGCAGGATTGGATTGGATTGGCTGGTAAGAAGCATTGATTTCGACAGCCGTATTGTAATATTGCGAGAGTCAAGTCAGTCCCATGCGGGTATCCCACGCTTTGCGGCAGTTGTAAAAATATTTGAGGTACATGTAGACCTGATGCGTTTGCGTGTGGGCAACTTTCTGCTTGTGGTGTCTTTTGACACGATACGACCGGTTGCATATCACACCCCCCGCTATCGAACCACCCAACCATACACCCTTGGCTGAATTGCTCCCTCGTCCGCCTGACTAGAATACATGTCCACAGCACTACCCCGACTAACCGCGTGCTCCGCTCCGTCCGTGGCTGCTTCTCTCCCCCCACCTCGCCGCGCGCACGCAACTACGTCTGCCGGCAACAGCCGGACACGCAGTTCGGAGACGTCTGCACCGCCCCCGACGCAACGCTGTCGTCTTCCCCGACGGCCATGGTGCCCCTCACCGACTTGGCGACAATGGCACCTCCTGCTTGTGGCCTCCGCTCGTTGGCTCGCCGGTAAGATTGGGGGGTATTTTTGGATACAGTAGTTGTTAAATGCGTGTGTTCCAGTATTAGGCTATAGTCTGTAGATGGCAGTGTTGTTCCGTTTCGTCCCATGGGCTTGTCTCTCTTGGACATACCCACACCCCAATCGGTTCAACGCCAGTATTTGTCGCCGATGGTGCTGCCGCCGCTGCTGCTGTTGCTGCTGCTGCTGCCAGTTTCTCGTGGGTAAAAACGATGGTTGGCGCGGACTACCTTTTTTTTCCTCTCTTACACTGCCTTCGCCATAATCTCCCGATGCTTCACCTTCCCATTGCGTGCTGCAGGCAATCGACGAGAGGAGTCCCGTGCCCTTGTGCGAGGAGCCTGGAGCGTGCGTGGTGGCGACCTTGTCGTCCATGACACCGGTCGACCTCACCCAGATGGTCGAACGCGCTTTTTTGGCCGAGGCTAACATTGTCCGGCAGGTATTCCAACTGCACCGCATCGTGCGCGAGTGCGAAGCCGAGCAGGATTCGATGGTGAACGTTGCGGACGACAAGAAGCACGTGAGATCCGCAATATTCGCGTTGTAATATTTTTTATTTCTCCTAGAAAGTTGTAACCTTTTGGGGGGGGTAGTTGGCTTGTGACCACGGAAGGCGTCCGCGTCAGTTGGACCAGTACGGATGTTAGAAGGTACTGAGCGGACACCGGAACCGATTTTATTGTTAGGGCAAACAACAAAAAGAACAACAACAACAACGACAACAACGACAACAACGACATCCTCCGGCGATTCGGGTTTGTTGAACGGCGAAGGCGGTGCTATTAGGTGGCGAGATTTACGGAGCATCATAGGCACGGTTGATATTGCCCAGATCTGCTGTCGAACACGTACTCACGTATCGTCTCGTGACCGAGACAGACGAGGACTGCACCACTCCTTTGCAGCGTTTTCGCTCAGCTAACCCTTCCCCTCCCTGCCCCTCCGACCCCACCCTTTATTTATACCAGTTCGGGTTCTGGGGCCTCATGGTCTTGGTCCAGAAGGCAGGGTGGCGTTCGTGGAACTACAGCGTGCCTGCTGCCATGCCTTTCAGGTATGCTTCGGTCATGTTCTTTGTGCACGGCAGTGTTCTTCTTTGGAAAGTCGCTGCTTCAGACGATACGTTTCCCCGTCAGCTTAGAGCGCATCGGGTGTGCCCAACTGTTGGGTGGATGGCGAGAGCAATGCCATCGGTGTCGACGTTGCCCGCGATTTTGGTGAACTTGTGCTCAGCCATCATTCAGCGATAAGATTACCTGCCATCACGGGAGTTCAGTTTCAACAGTATTTTCTGTTGTGCAGCTGAGCGTTTGCTTGATACGTTTCTCAGCGCTGCTGCCAAATATGTCCTCATGACCTTCTGTGGGTTGACGTGTGGCACAGCATGTTCGTATACTGGGTACGGACGAATGCTGTTGCGGTATGATTTTCGCTGTTTGATTTTGGAGCTTTCATCGATGCGCATTTACATATTCGACCGCGCCTACTGAAGACTTGATGCTGCCGTGATCGGCGTAGAAATTACTTCAACACGCATGACAGCAGTTCGACATCCACGACTTGCTTTGACCCCTCCCCTTCCTCCCGACCTTGTCCGCCGTGACCCCCCTGTTCTCCTGGATACAGGCTCACCGATCATGTCCCTTCGTCGGTGAAGGTCACAGAGCTACTTTTCTTCGCCCATCAGAGAGCGTCCAGTTTCCCGATGGCCAGCTGGCCTAGATTCTGTTCGATGACGGCGCTGTGCGTCGCCTTTGCTTCTTCTGGCTGTTGCTCACCCTCTGCCGGCGTTTGTGGCTGGCCATCGCCACCGGCATCGCGGCGTCGAAGAAGCAGATGGAGAGCCAACTTGAGGAGGAGAGGGCGAAATGGCAGAGGGAGGCAGAAATTGCCACCGCCGCTGCCGTCGCCACGTGTCAGACGAAGGTGCAGCTGTTTTTCCAGAGCCAGCCCCAGGAGGAGAGGCGGAAGGCCAAGCTGTCGATGAAGAAGGCCGTCGAGGACTCCAAAAAGGAGGCGCTGCTCGCCTTCGGGCAGATGGTCCGGGAGAACCGTGAGGCCAAGGACGGCAAGTGGCAGAAGAAGCTCGACGGCGTCGAGGATAGGCTTCTGGGTCGCGTGAAGGACGAGCTTGGTGACACGCCTGCCACCATCGCCTCCGTCCGCGCAGACGTCCTTCAGCTGACGAAGCAAGCTGCCTGCATGCATGCTGCCATGGAGAAGGCGGTGATGGACGAGATACTCCGCTCCGGCACCGAGCAGCTGGAGATGGGGCAGGCCAAGCTTCGTGAGGAGATGGCCAGATTCCAGCAGGAGACCGAGGAGGCTATGGGGAACCTCACGGCCAAGCTGTACAACGTCAAGGAGAACACCGACGCCCTCGGATCTGGCCTCCTGACGGTTCAGAACATCGTCATGAAAACTAATGGGCGCAGGATCAAGAAGGTCCTGTACAGGATGGAGGAGAGAGCGGAGGAGTCCAGCAGGGTGTGGGGCGAGGGACCCAAGCTAGGCCCACACTTCGCCCATTGGAAGGCCACCAAGAAGCAACTCAAGGAAGACGGGGGGGGCGACGACGACGAGGGCGAGGAGCACGCGGGCGGGAACCTCTCGGGGCCGCCTCAGGAAGAGGGGGAGCAGAAGGAACAGGCGGGCGGAAACCTCTCGAGGCCGCCCCAGGGGGCGGGGGAGCAGAAGGAGGAGGCGGGCGGCAAACCCTCAGGGCCTCCGCAGGAGGACGGGGAGAGGAAGGAGGGGGAGGAGGAGGACAAGCGCTGAGGGCAGGGCCAGAAGACCAGGAGGGAAAAACGCGGGCGCAAGTCAAAGAAGAAGCCGGTGGAAGAAGGAGATGGAGATGACGGCAGTGCCGCCAGCGGATGGATCGGATGGCAAGTCCGGGGGAGGGGAGGGGGGAAAGGGCTTCTCCGCCGGCACGTAGAACGGCAGCAGGTTGTTGTTGTTGTTTTTTTTTCTTGGCAGTAAACTTGCTCTCGAAGGCGTTGAGCGACGTGCCGGATCATCCGACCCTTTGCCCCGCCTTATGAATGATGCGGTTTACCGTCAAGCCGTGGAAGCAGAACAGTTGTACAGCTATGGCTTTGGTCGACGAGTGGGTTTGCTTTCGACGGATGTGGCACGGATTACTTTGTACTTCGTACGTTAGAGTTCCTTGTTGCCTGTCCCCGATGGTGTGTTCCCATGAACGGCAAAAACTCGAGCCCATGTACAACTAGATTATTTCCACCATCAACGACTTCTTTTCCTGTCATCCCGGTTTGCGTGCTATTTATTTCGGGCCAATCGGGCAGATGTGTTTTGTTTTTTCATCCCTTGCTTCTCGCTGGGCAGGGTTGCGGCGAGAGGAGCATTGTGGTTCCAGCTTGCGTCTGTTCTTGATTCGATCTCAAGGACTGTGGGGAGGCGTGTCTGCGGGCTCCTTCTTGCGTGCCTGTTTGATGCTGCATTTCGTGCCAAACCTTAGTGGTCACGAGGTGTTGGCTTGCTTTTTTTTTTCGAGCATGGGTTGTAGAAGAGGTACCCCGGTGTTGTGCTGCAAGAAGTTTGTGGTCATTTTATTTTTCTTCGGCCCTTCGTCAGCAGTGTGTGTGTGTGTCTTTGTTTTTAGTGTCGACCGCGCTAACCGGCTGACCAATGAAAAGACATCAGTCTCAGTGTGGTTGAAAACACAAAACACTTGTGTGTGTGTGTTTTCGTCCTAGACTATTTATTTTGGCTACAGTCCGCACATTTTTCGTGGTAATAAGTTACTAGTCTACACTTTTCAGTGTATTTGTTCGTACAACTACAACTTTCCAGGGTCGCACAAGAGGGGCAAACAAATGGCCTTTTCTTTTCTTTTTCTTTTTCTTTTTCTTTTCGTGCCCGACCTTCCTCCTCTAGGTGCGTGCTGAGTTATTGTTTTTTTGATCGCGAGAAGGGTCCAGCCGTCACTTTCCCTCGTTGATGCTACTGACGTCGAAGTTTGGTACACACGAGAGCTTTTCTGCTTTTTTTTCGTTTCCCCCGCAAAAGTTGTAAATTTCCAACTACTGTTTTGAAAAGCTGCGCAATATTTGGTTCCTGTCAACTGCTGTCTTGAAAAGCTGCGCAACTATGTGGTTCCAAGCAACTGCTGTCTTGAAAAGCTGCGCAAATATTTGTTTACAGGCATTGTTTACAGGCAAATACCCGTAATAGTTTATTACACTCAAATAATAGTTGTATTTACATGTGATACTTGTACAGGGCGTGAATTTTTCACCCCATGGGGCAGTGTGAGAAGGAATGGAATCTCAGTTCGTCGCATGAAACATTTAAGGAAACAAGAATGATGCCAAATCACCCAGGCCAAACAGAAAAAAGCGAGGAAAGCGAGCGGCGGTCCTGGCCAAGGTTGTGGTGGAACTATAGTGTCTAAAGCCCGTGATCCCGAGGGCTCGTGCCCTTGCGATACGAAGACGGGGTCACTGCAGCAAGCATCGATACCACATAAACTGGTCTACTTCAATGTTTTCTGGCTCCATGGGCTTCTTCAAACTCACGACGGCGTTCTCTCGTTCCGTCGTTGGAAGAGTAAGATATATTTAGTAGTTCTGATCTCCACCCACGGCATTGACCAGTCTCGTTGCCACAGGCCTGCAGCTTGTGCACTTCCGACTCACGACGAAACTTTAACTTCGGTGACAAAGAACGAACGGCTAGTCTATGCATACTATAGAGAGATTCGGTGGCACGACCTCTGGATTCACCTGGCGCACACCAGAGACTGCGCTCGATTCCACGCATTTAGGGGGTTGCTGGTTTGCAACGATGACAATGGCCTGAACGCGCTTGGAAACAAAACTGTCGTGGGCGCGTACCAAAAGGAGAACACTGCTATATCACGGATGGTGGATCTTCTCATGGGAACCCTACGCATCTTTTTTTTTGCTCCCATCATTGGATTCTGTCGACTCCCCTCTGGCCCCTATCCTCCACTTGTACTAGCTAGACGACCCAACCGGGGTCACATAGATAGGAGGGAGGGGTTGGACCCCCTCCTGCGGTTCCTGCCTGAGATATTTTTATCGCGAGAAGGGTACATCGATCCCTTCCCTCGCGACTTATGAAGTCGATCAAGTTTACTGACAACGAGCTTTTTGCAGCGCATCTCTTCCAACGGAGACCACGATTTTATTAGTCTAGTCTGGAGAGAGACGCACATTTTTTTTTTTCTCCCATCATTGGACTCTGTCGTCTGCCCCTCTGGCCTCTATCCTCCACTTCTACCAGCTAGACGACCCAACCGGGGTCACATAGGAGGGGGGAGTTTGACCCCCTCCTGCGGTTCCTGCCTGAGATATTTTTTTCGCGAGAAGGGTACAGCAATCCCTTCCCTCGCGACTTACGAAGTCGATCACGTTTACTAGAACAACGACGAGCTTTGCAGCGCGTCGCTTCCAACGGAGACCAGGATTTAATTAGCGAGAAAAAAATCACTCTGTCGGGACTCGAATCCATCACCTGGCCTGTAGAAGGCTGCGAAGCTACCTACTAGACCACCGGGGCGACCGGTGTACGTGTGCCAGTGTGGTTAACGCGAAACATATAGTCTAGTCTAGTCTAGACTATTAAAATCATCCACTATCGAGCAGACTCAATCTCTCGTCATTTCGTATCGATTTCCCCCCCCTCTCGTGCCACATGGCGCTCGGTCTCATGTAAAGGGGTTGATTGTGGGGCGTGGGGCGTGGGCCGTGGGCCGTGGGCTGTGGGCTGTGGGCTGTTGGCTGTGGGCTGTCATCCTGTGTGTACCGGCTGGCTTTGTCGACCCGCTGAAGAACCATAATTCGTGGACGGAAACCCTGGGGATATTGCGTTGATGTCCCCGGTTCTCGGAAGGTTTTAGAGGCATGTCCCCAATCGGATGGAACTTGGAAGCCGCGCCACAAGTGGAGAGCTCGAGCGGACATCGCTGCACTTCAGCGGCTGCTGCCGAGATGCGGGCGCACGATGTACTCGACGCCCTGGAACGAGTCACGCTGTTCCGGGCTCAGGCGGCGGACTCGAATCGACGCTTGGAGGACATCGGAAGTGATCTGGACAGCGCAATATCTCTGCTGGACCTCCAACAACAGCAGTGTCGCGAAGCGGAGCATCCGGACGGTAAAGCATGAGTCGGTGCGGCAGCAGTGGTTGTCGCCGTGCGCTGGATGGTGTTTCTTGTGGCAGCTGTGTATTGCACGTGTGATGCGCATTACAGGGAAAAAGAGAGAGGGATGCTCAAGAGGGAGTCCCGAAAACAAAGTGGTGCGCGTGTCCAAATTTTGGTTGGCCTGAGAGCTTGGTCGCTCACATCCGCGGGATCATGTGTTTCGTGGTTCAAAAGTTCAAATCGGCTGCCGAAGCCCAGCGCCTGTACGACACGACGGCAATCTACCTTCATTGCGCAGGACAGGTCGCTTCACCAACATAAAATTTGTAGTGTGGTGGAGATGAAGCCGTAGAGATCGGATAGCAATCACATTTTGCCCTCCCTCCAAGCTCTGTGGATTTCGAACACGGCCTTGTTTGTGCCCCGTCTGTGCCAAGTGTCACGTGATGTGCGGTATGCATGCATACACATTTGCAAGTGAAATGTCGCACTACTGCTGTACCTACAAACTGAATGACAACAATTCAGGATGTTATTCGCATGGTTTCTCCGTGTCGTAAACGTCCTCTACTCCACAGCAGTATTTCCTGCTGCGTGACAACTGTAAATTGTGACTGTTGTGAAAGGGTTGTTGTTCCCGCAGAGAAAGGCAGGGCTCCAAAAACAAGAAGCTGACGATAGACAGTCACAATGTAGCGGTGACTAACAGCGCGAATCATAGCCGTGAGCAAGCACAACAAAGTGGGAAGAGACTTGCTGGACCCTTTTTAGGCAAGCACAGTCGTAGGAGGAAAAACGTGCTCTCGCTCTTGCTGGCGTGACCCAGGATTGCGCGACGTAAACGTGGTTTACCGACACCAAACCGACACTTACTTTGATATGCACATAACACCCATCGACCCCCTCCCCTCATAACACAGGCGCAGCAACAGGCGTGACCCAGGGCGTTCACCGCGCCGTCCTTGACTGGTCCACCGGGGTGATCGTGAAGCTCGCGGCAGCCTTGCCCAAGCACGCGACAATTGCGGCAAGCACCAACGTCAGCACCACCACCACCAGTGAGCGCCACGCTCGGAACGCACGGCGCTGGCTCTCGGACCCGCGCATCTGGCGGTGCTTTGTGCGCTCGCTCAGGGGGGGCGCCACCCAGGCGGCCGAACCCAGCACGCACCTACCGCAGGCTGCGAGCCTGGGGGTGCTACGGGCTGCGATTTTCGCGGTCCGTGCCGGAGCACCAGGATCGTTGGCGGCGGCGGGAGCGGCGGCGAGGGCTGGGGATAGCTGCTCTGCATCACCGCAGGCAGCAGAACCGAACAACGATGGTGTGGCAGCGGCGGCGGCGGCGGCAGGGGCAGGGGACTGGGCGTTCGTCGCCGTCCTGACGCTCTGTGGCGGGGTCATCGTTACCGCGGGAGGAGGAGGAGGAAGAGGGGGCGGCCAAAGCAGCGGGTCGATGACGAGCATCGACGCCGCCGTCCTGGACGAGCTCCGGCCACGGCGCGCGGACGGGATGGTGCTAGCGACGGCGGGCCCGGCGGCGCCGGCGCCGGCGCTGGCGACGGTCGCCTCAAAACGGTGGGGAGGGGGAGGTGCCGTGATGAAGATGTCCCTAGACGCGTACGCGACATTCTTGGATGAGGTCCTTCGCGGACATGAGGCCGTTTGCCTAGCGCTACCCCTCGCCGGCGACGGGGCAGGGTCGGGAGGGCGGAGCAGCGTCGGGGGCAAGGAGGCGGCGGCGGTTGCGACGGCCGGTGGCGGAGCGCTGCCGTCCCTGGCGGAAGGAGCGCTGACGGAGCTGCTCCGCTTCCAGGTGGTGCTGCAGGCCCAGCAGACATCCCCCCGCAAGGTAAATATTTGCGTTGCCCTTCCGTACATACGCGCTAACCGGTTCTTGTGTCTGTTTCCGACTTCCTGGCGGTTGCCGCCGTACTGAGTGGGATTTTTTTCTTCTCGTGGTTGATTTATCGGTGTCGCACTGATCGCGGTCGATCAACGGCCAAGGACACCTTCCGTCTCGCGGTAGCTAGAGCAGCAGGGGCTGTCGTGGATGCCACAGACAATGGGTTTGACATCCGTGACGATACGCGAGACACCCCCCGTGTATCCTACCGGCTTCCAGACCTAGCGGGCCGGCGGGTCAGTTTGGACTTGCTCCCTGGAAACACTGCCGCTCAGTCTCACGCACCCTCGTTGTCTGCATATGTTTTTGGCCTATTATAGCTTTTTTTGTTCGTCGTCGGCCACTGATTTGTTTTTTCTCTGGACTGTGCCTTTCCGCCGAACCAGGTCTTCACCACCTTTTGTTCGAAGCTGATGGGGTCGCTGTTCCGGGCCCTTCCGCCCGAGATTTCGACGACGGCGTCGGCCTCTTCGCCGCTCAAGACCGCCGCCAAGGCCGTCGCGTTCGACGCCCTCTTTCACGAGGAGCATCTCGAGGGCTACCGCGAAGCCTTCACGGCGGCCGAGGAGGCGGTGGCGGCGGCGGTTGCCAGGACGGGGAGTTCGCCGCAAGGGGGGGGAGTTGCGCCTACCGCTGGCGGTGGCGATGGGAAGAACATTAGTGAACCGGATCAGTCTGGTGAGAGTGGCGGCGGCGGCAAGAAGAGGCGCCGGAAGAACACTGGTCGCGAAGACGGCGGCGGAGACGACGGCGGCAAGTTTAAGAAACCCCGGAGCCGTGTGTGCTACCAGCAGCAGCTCTTGGACGAGATGGCCGCGCTAGCGGCTGGCTCGCGGGCAGACGGGGAGGGGGGGGGGCGATCTCGCCTAGGGGCAGTGGCCGGGGCCCCGATTTTGCTGGAAGGGTTTATTCTCCGCCTAGGTAAGGTGCAGCGTGGAGCGGTTGATATCCACGAGGCGTCGGGTGCGGCGACGGCCGCAGTGGCTGTGGGCGGAAAGCGCTCGCGTTCATCCGGTGGCAGCGGCGGGGGCGGCAGCGGTAGCGGCTCGTCCGCCTCGCCTGCTTCGCAGATGTTTAGGCTGTGGTCGGTGCTACATTCGACGCTCTTGGGGTCCTTGCCGTCTGCCCCGTCTTCGTCTCCGCCGCCTGCACAGCCGTCCGATGGCACCGTCGTGCTCCCGCGGCTGCTGCTTCTCCCGTTCCTGCGGTCGAGCAACTCCATGCTGAGGCTCCTCGCTGAGCACGACGTCTACCGCATCAACGAGGACTGGGGGGGGCTCGAGTTCGGCCAGCTCCGCAGCTTCTCGTCCAGCCTTATCCGCCTCGCCGAAAGCTGCTGCGGGGGGGGGGGTAGCGGCGGCGGCGGCGGCAACAGCACCGACGGCGGCGCCCCCGCAAGCACGCCTGCCGCGATGGCGGTCAGCAGGGACGGCGCACGCAGAACGGAAGACGCTCCCGATGCCCCCGCCGCCGCTGCCCGTGTCCTAGTAAAGCCTACGAAGGAGGAAGTAACGGGGGCGGGGGCAGCAGCCGAGGAGTTTCTCAGGGCTTTCGGCTCGCTGCTGGGCCTTAACCACAGCATCCTGCACGATGACCTGAGACAGGTGCTACGGATGACGTTCGAGTGGGCGGCTACGGCGGAAACAGCAGAATCGGCGACGGCGGCGCCGGGTACTGTTCGCGGCGGCGACGGAGGCAGCGGCGGCCCGACGGTGGTGCTCCGCGCTCTGGCGGTCGATCTCGTCGCGAGCCTCGTCGGCACGTACGGCCGCCTGCGGCAGATGGACCACCTCGTCCGGGCCCTCTTCGGGGCCGTAAGCGACTGC